TGCTCAGCATCCAGATTGAATAAGTATAGTGAAAGAACACAGTCCTGGTGTACTCCTTTCCTGATTTTAAACCTTTCAGTAGCCTCTTGCTGTGTTCAAACGACTGCCTCTTGGTGTATGTACAGGTTCCTCATGAGCACAATCAAGTATTCTGGAATACTCATTCTTCACAATGCTATCCATCGAAATCCTTTGTGTAGTCAGTAACATACACGTAAACATCTTTCTGGTGTTCTCCGCTTTCAGCCAAGCTCCATCTAACATCAGCAATGATATCCCTAGTTCCACATGCTCTTCTGAATCTAGCTTGACTTGCTGGCAATTCCATGTCGATGTACTGTTGCAGCCATTTTTTAATTATACAGAATTTTACCTGCATGTGATACTAATGATACACGTCGAGAATTTCCACTTTCCATTGGGTCACCTCTCTTTGGAATGGATCTCTCTCCAATCGGTTGGCCAGGTAGCTGTCTTCTAAATTTCTTGGCATAGATGAGTAAGTGCCTCCAGCACTGCATCAGTTTGGTAAAAGATTTCGATTTGTATTCCATCAGTTCTTGGAGCCTTGTTGTTTTGCTGATGCCTTCGGGGCAGCTTAGACTTCTTCCTTCAGTACCATGACTAGACTAGCTCAAAAATTTCTCAGGATTGCTTTCCTGCTTTGGTTTTGAATTAGCCTGGATGGTTCCTTCCCAGTTTACCTACTACTTATGATAAGTCATAGGTGATTCATCTATTGTAAAAATGTGTGTTTGAGTGACAAGATGTTTTTAGGATGAATAACTAGTGTTTACTCATGAATTTGTCCTGGCCTTCCCTTCTATTTGTCTCGTGGCTGATTTCTCCTGTTGTGTGAGTGCAGAACCTTGTCTTTCCTGTCAGCTGAAGAGGCTGTGGTAACAGAGTGCAGGCCAGAAAGTCATGTGATTTGTGAGCACGTCATGTATAAGCATTCCTTTGTGTGAGGACAAACAGACTTTATAAACTACAGTCACACACCTGTTAACGTCCACATATGTTCTATGGAATAGGACGCTATATGACTTCTGTGTTGTGCAAAGCTCTGGATTATGAATGAGTGCCGTTCCTAGAGCCGTCTAGTTTGGTACAGTTTATAGCTAACATCAGTTAGCCAAATAAAAGTTTGCCTTAGTATATAGTGTACCTTTCTATGCAAAAAAAGTATTAAAGAGATACTCCCAGGTACACTAAATCATTAACATAATCATACAGTAAAAATAATATGTCAAAGCAGGTTATGACCTAGGGCCCGTTTGTGATTTGAAATAATTGCTTGTTCCTCAGATTTTTCCCATTTAATAGGCTTTATGGAGGCTGGGGCCACGGAGGTGTATGCCATTGCACATTGCCCTAAAGGACGTTAAGCAGTACCTGACTTTATGTCTATGAGGGCAGAAAGGAGTCTGAGCCCCAGCAGGTGTTATTTGTTACCAGGTCCAAGGTAGTGCGTGTGTGGTTATGGAAACACCCTTACAGGCCAAGAGAAGAGTGTGCAGGTTGCAATTTATATTCTGGAAGTGTAAATTCCAAATAGCAGACCTCACCTCCTCGGGGATGCCAGAGACGGTCTTCCCAAAGGCCTTCTGGGATCTCTAGAATGAGTAAGAGGTCACCAAGTTAATCAGGGCAAACCCTATGTGTCATCCCAGTCTCTTCTTTCATACCCAGAGTCCAGCCGCCTCCTCACCAGCAACTGCTTTCCCTCATGCCTCTTCTGCTTGCTGTGGTGGTGGTTAGGTGCTGTCAAGTCGGTTCCGATTCATAGTGACCCCGTACAGCGTTTCTGAAGAGCAGCCCTTGGGTTTGAACCACTGACCTTGTGGTTGGCAGTCCAGTGCTGATCCTGCAGCGCCACCTGCTTTTATGCAGACAGTGGGTCATTCCACTCCCTTGCTCACAGCCCTTCAATGCTCTCCCATCACAGTGAAACTGACATCCAGATTCCCCGTGGGAACCTCTGTCCTTCATTTTCTGGGACTCTTCCCTTTGCTCATGGCGTGCTGGTCACATGGCCTCCTTGAGGCTCTATCAGTTTGCTGCTCCTTCGTTGCCTGCTCTTCCACACTTGCCTAGGGGGGCACACTCACTCACCTGAAGACTGTCTAAGGTCACCTCAGTGGAAGGCTGCCTGAACCTCTTCTAAAACTGTATCCTCTTCTTTCTCAATCACGTTACCCTGCTTTCTCTGGTTTCCCAGCACCGTCTACATTGGACACTGGGTATTTCTTTATCTACTTGTGTACTTACTTTTTCTGTCTTCTCCACCAAAATGTAAGGTCTGTAAGAGGCAGAATTTTATTTTATTCAGTTCTGAGAACTCAGATGGTGCCTAGCATGTATAGGTACTCAATAACTATTTGATGAATAAATTAAATCAATGAATGAATATGTCAAATCCAAGAGGATGGGGACAGGTGCTCTCATTAGAGGGGACTTCTATAACAGAGGCCACTGTAATACAGGGTTTCAGAACTGGAAGAAGACCTGAAGGGCTGGTGAACAGACAGGGTGGGGTCGGGACAGAGATGAGGTGTGAGGACCAGATCACAGAGAACCTTGTAGGCAGTGTTAACAAGATTTTGAACTTTGTTCTGAGGGCAGTAAGAAGGCATTAAAGGGTTCAAGGTACATTGAAAATTGTGGCTGGTTTATAAAACAAAACAAAACCCATTGCCACCAAGTGGATTCTGACGCGTGGCAGGCGGCCCTGGGTGTTACCGAGTGTGCCAGCTCCACTGGGTTTCTTGGCTGTCACCTTTATGGGAGCCAATCGCCAGCCCTTCTAAGGCAGCGCTGGCTGAGTTTGAACTGCCAACCATTTAGTTAGTAGCTGAGAGAAGCCATTTGTAACCCCGGGGGACCTTTCCCACTGACTCCTGGCTAGTAAATTGATAATAATGAGGCAAGAATGGGGATAAGGGAACCACTGAAGCAGCTGTCTAGAGTCATCCAGGCAAATGACAAGGCGTGAATTAAGGTGCTGGCTGGAGAAAAAGATGGCAAGTGGTCATTTTGATGGTAAAGTTAGCCTGTCCTATGATCTGAGGCAGGTGGCTATGCTAACTAGAAGCCCAAAGACACAAACTCAGACCTGGGATCTTTACTGGAACAGAATTGAGCAAGGCATTCTTTATTCCCTCATGTACACATTCAGCATACACTAACAGAGCTCTTTCCATGTGCCACACCTGTGCCAAGAGATGCAGAGAACACAGATGAATACCATGCAGCAAGCCACCACAAAAAGTCATATTCTACAAGGAAGAAAGTCCCTTTCGCTTTGATGTGGAGTCCTGGTGTGGCGTTGCAGGTGAATACGCTGGACTGCAAGGTCGGCAGTTCAAGGGTCTCTATGAATAGACAGGACTCTACTGCACTTAACAGTCTTTTTCTATCCCCTGCCTTGCCAGTGCTTGTCCTGGGGTCCTGCTCTCACTCATCTGTGTGCACATACAGTGTAAAACTAGGTACTCAATACAACTGAGAATGCCTATGATTTTTTCTCCTTGACTATATGTCAGTGGTCCTAACAGCATCAGTTCTCCAGCCTGAGGTTTCTCGCCAAGTTTCCTGAGCTCATGATATCAAAGTCATTTCAACTGTCCAAACCAAATAGGGAAGAAAACTTGCCTACCTAACTCACAGGCTTTTATAAGGATTTAAAAAAACTAAAAAGGAGCTTTGCAAACGTGAAAGGTGGTGATCCCCTGTGTTTGCACTGCCCTTTATTCTGGACCCATGTGACTGTTAACTGAGCATTCACTGTGTTCTGGGCCCTGTTTGCGCTGGAAATACAAAGATGAACAAGATATAGTCTCTGCCTTCAGGTAACTTTCATTCTGTACCCACGGGACAAGATAAAAAGAATTTGAAAATCACTAACTCCCCAGGCCCATTGCTGCACAGGATGTGAAGGGCATTTCCCCTCCCCACCTTTGATCTTCACTGCCTGCATATCTAGATAGTATTTGGAAGAGTAAGGAGCTCTGGTAGCGTAGTGGTTATGAATCAGGCTGTGAGCCGCAAGGTCAGCAGTTCGAAACTACCAGCTGTTCCACGGGCGAAAGATGAGGCTTTCTGCTCCCGTAAAGATTTACATCCTCGGAAACCCTGAACAGGGTCGCTATGAGTCGGAACCGACTCCACGGCACATAACAACAACATCTGGAAGAGTAGATCCATTCCTTAAAGGAGCAGCAGCTTTTCTATAAATACCCCTTATTGTTAAGTGTAATAAGGAGTGGGTTCTGCCGCACAGCAACGTTATATAGGATTTCAGAGGAGTAGCTGGTGGGTTTGCACCACCGACCTTGTGGTTAGCAGCCCAGTGCTTATCCTACAATGAAAAATCACTCTTAGTATCCCTTATTATTGGAGCCCTGGTGTGGCGCTGTAGGATAGGCACTGCACTGCTGAGGTCGGAAAGCTTTTGTCTGCCTCCAACCTGCCCAGTTGCTCCTGGAGAAGGCCGTGGCACATTTTACAGCCTAGAAAACCTTATAGGCAGTAATTCTCTTGCATGGGGTCACTATGAGTCTTAACGCCACTACCATCTCCTGTTACCGGATCCAGTTTGTTGTCCTCTTGCATAGTAAGTCAGCACAAGCCCTGGAAACTGGTACTATGATTGTTATGATTTTGTTACGGGCAAAGTCACGTGGCCTCCAGGATCCTAGGGGAGAGAGTTAGACTACTCCCGAAAAGGCTTCTCACCTTTTACTTTGTTCCAAGCCCGGGAGCTAGGCACCCAGACACAGACCTAATTCTCAAGCGTCCTGGAGGCAGTCTCCGTGAAGGAAGAGACAGGCAGAAGCCGCTCTTCGAGAAACCTTCAGTGAGCCCCGCCCCCAGCCCTTGGCGTTGTTGGGGAACGGAGGGGCGTTGCCAGGTTCACGTGGGGCGGGCTCAGCGCCAACCACTAGAGTGATTGGCTCTGCGTAGGGGAGGGCCCGCATCCGTCGGGCACCGGAAGTCATTCGCCGCCCTTGTCGGTGGGCCATGGAGACGGTGGCGCCGTAGTGTCTGGTGAGAGGACTGCTGGGGCGGTGGCCATGGAAGCCGTCCTGAACGAGCTGGTGTCTGTGGACGACCTGCTGGTGAGGCCTGGCCCCGATGGAGGGAAAGGGGCGATCTGGCCAGAGGGGTCCGGACGAGAGTAGGCTAGGGACTCAACCCCTTTCCCAACATCAACTCCGCCCAGGGAATCTGAACTACAGCTCCCAATAGCCTCTGCAGCGGCTGGTGTTGCCCAGAGGTTCCGCTTTGCCCCAGAGGCTAATGGGAGTTGTGGTTTTTTGAGCCGCCACACCTCAGACTAGGGGCTGGCGTAGAAAGACCGGCTGGAATTTGAGTTCGTTCTGAACTTGGGAGCGCTGGGTGTGGCTATCTATTGCTTGAGTGCTCCTGCAGTAACAGAACACGGTGACCACCTTACGAGATCGCACATATTACTGAGTTTGGTACCGTGCTGGCTGTGTTGCAGGCATACGACAATGTCTCAGTACTTGTGGCTCTAGCACGAGTAGGCAGGCGCTCGTTTTAACTTCCATTTGACAAAGAAGGAAAGATCCACGCCGGGTCGGGATATTTGTTCCCAGTGAGCGTCTGCGCAGACTGTTGTTGAGCAACCCCGACAGTGGCCGGATTGTTCACTCACGCGGGGGGCCGCAGCTCGGGAAGCGGTGCCTGGAGCCGCCACTAGGTGGCCCCTCCGCTTGGTACCATGTGGGGAGAAGAGACTAGGGCCCACTGTCATAAAAGACTTGGGGGGGCGGGGAATGGAGCGGAGCTGGGAAACGGACATCCAGGTCCAAGGGAAGAATGGGAGCTCCTTCATTTCTAAATGATTCCTCTCCTCTCTATGGCAGAAGTTTGAGAAGAAATTTAAGTCTGAGTCGGCAGCAGGGTCAGTGTCCAAGAGCACGCAGTTTGAATACGCCTGGTGTCTTGTGCGCAGCAAGTATAACGATGACATCCGTAAAGGCATAGAGCTGCTCGAGGGTAGGTACTAAGGCTACCCCACAATTCCATCCTTCCTGGCTGCCAGTGGGGTCTGCCCTTCCCGATTGCCATTGGCCTCATTCACCTCGGTCTCAAGTGCTGACATCCTTTTTCAGCTTGGAGCCCTATAGTCCTGTCACCTCCCAGGGATTTTCCAGTGTAGGGAAGGTTAGCCTGACTACTCCCAGTGGGCTTCTGACTAGTCAGCACACCATCCTTACTTTGTCAAGCAGAATCATAGCGCTTTCACGAGCTGGTAGTCAAGCATCTCACAAAATGACTTGTCTCAGGCAAGACAGCTAATTCTTGAGTGGCCGGGGTGGGACTAGAACACCTCTCTGGTGAGTCCCAGCTCTTTGCACTCCTATTTAGCAGCTTTTGCTGAGAACTTTTTGCAGGGTGTTACTTAAAAGCACCCTCGGAAACCCTGTACAGGGTCGCTATGGGTCGGAACCGACTCGACGGCACTTAACAACAACAACAACAACAACAACTTAAAAGCATAGTGGTTATGAATCGGGCTGCTAACCTCAAGGTCGGCAGTTCAAAACTACCAGCCGTTCTGTGGGAGAAATATGAGGCTTTCTGCTCCTATAAAGATTTACAGCCTTGGAAACCCTGTACAGGGTTGCTGTGAGTCAGAACCGACTCCACTTAACAACACTTAATGGTACATAACAACAACAACAACTGAAAAGCTACAGAGAATTGGCCATAAAAAGTCATGGAAAGTTGGTAGGTTTTTTTTTTACAGGAATCCTATTTCCCATTGATTTAAGACGGACCATTGTTTGTCTGAAACCATAATCCCTGACCTTTCAGTTTCCCTGTACACTCCCCCACCCCTTCTCCCTTCTTGTGGTACTCATTTGTAAGCAAATTATCAGTGTCCTCACAAAGGAAACATAAAATCTGTGAAAATTGGAATGTTTCCACATAAATCACTCCCCCCTGTATTTACCTATTTTGCCAGTTCAGACTTTTCAAGTGTAGTGAACAGCAGGGTACAGCCGTAGAAGACATCATCAGTCTAGTTGAGACAGTACAGCTCCTTGGAAAGGTTTGAAACACAAAACCTTATTGGCAGCAAATTCTAGAACATGGAGTGCATCTGAATACAGAGAGTCTGGGAAGTCAGTGAACTAGTAAAGCCCCAGAGTGGGGTGGGGTCACTCCAGGAGACTCACTATAGGTGAGTGTGGGGTTGATTTTTTAAACTGAATCCTGGAAACTTACCAGAAGATAATCTTTAAAACCTTAAACCAAACTAGCCCCTGAAGTTTTCTTTAAACCCAACAGTGTTGCTCAGCTGGTAAAGATGACAGTTTTGAGCATTGTATTCCTTTAAGAGTTCCCTAATGGGACCATCCTGACAATAGCAGTGTGGACGGTCACCTAAGAAATTTAAAGGGCAGTGACTTTACCTAACGGCGGAGGACAAGAATGATTATACAACTCAAAGACTGTCACCAGTGTCACTGAGCGGTTCATGCAGAAATTGCAGAATTGGTACATGTTCTACTGTAGATGTTCTCATCAACAACAAAAATAAAATACATATATTTTTTAAAGGGTAGCGGAGTACAAACTGATTTTTAACACTACTCTGGACAACAAACAGCTATAGTTGACGTGCACGGTAAATGGCAAAACGGAGGTGAGAGGCCTTTTGGTTTCTCTGCTAGAGGGCCTTGCTTTCCTGTAAGTTCCCTGGATAAACCAGGTGTAATGTATCACCTGTGGTGTGTTGGAGCAGCCTCACGTTCATACTGCCCTAGGGCTCTGGCAGAGACGCTGAGAGTAACTGAAGCTGAACTGGGCTCAGGCACCACTTTCCCGGGACTCAGTAGGATCCGAACTGGATTGCTAACTCTGTAAACCCCTTACAGGGTTACTAGGGACCGGAAGCAACTCGATGGCACACAACAGTATGAACGTACGGACTCGGTTTAATGGTCTTGGGGGCAGAAATACTAGGAAAAGCGAATTTATTTTCACCATCTTCCCTTCTTCCGCCTCAGAGCTGCTGCCCAAGGGAAGCAAGGAGGAGCAACGGGATTACGTCTTCTACCTAGCTGTGGGGAACTACCGGCTCAAGGTAAGCAGGGCTTCAGACTGCTTCTCTCCAGTTCAGCCACAGCCTACAAATCGAACTAGGAATGAACCGGAATTTCTAAGATGTGATTGTATAGAAGCAATAACTGGAGCCGGAAAATTCCAGGTCGACATTGGACTAGAAACTTGATTTCCCTTCTAGAAAACAAGGGTGCCATGTGTGTTACACAGCAACCAAATTTCTTGACTGGCAGAATCAGAGACCGCGGTGCCACACTTAGAGATGCCTGCTATACCAGGTGGAATGTGTGTGACTCTCCTCTAGCCTGGCAGTATGATCTCCCACGTCTGTCTCCTGAAAGGGCTCACTGTGCCCTCCCAAGTCTCCCATTCAGGACTTGGACCCTGCATTTTTTCCCTCCCAGTTACATCTGGTCAGTTCTGATTCCTCCATGTTGGTCCTGGCTGAACCCCTTCGAAGCCCTGGAGTTGAGGCAGAAAAGGCACCTCCCACTCCCTTCTCCTCGTGTGGGCCCCAGTACCCTCTTACTTTCTCCACCAGGGCAGTAGGCGGGGGCCGGGGGGTGTCATCAGGTACAGAGGTACAAGGAGATATCAGATCAGGATTCCCGAGGGAGGTAAGGAAGAGAAGATCAGGGCACTGAGGGTGTGGGGAGCGAGTGACGTCAGGACTGGGGTGCAGCTCAAGCCTTCTGTTATCTCCTCCAGCTTATCACCCCCACACAGTTGGGGTTGTTTGTGGACTCTACTCAGTGGGGTGGGGCTGTAGAGCGAGGGAGGCGCCCCTAGGGCAAGAGGAGAGAAATCCCCTCTGAGGGGCAAGCAGCACAACCTTTCTGAGATGTATGTGTGTGTTTCCCTGAGTATAGGAGTATGACAAGGCCCTGAGGTATGTGCGAGGGCTGCTGCAGACAGAGCCTCAGAACAACCAGGCCAAGGAACTGGAACAACTCATTGACAAGGCCATGAAGAAAGGTGAAGCCATCCTCTCTACCCCCCTTCCGCTGTCTGTCTCCACCCCCGGCCCCTTGGTTCCGCAGTCCCAGTGCCCTTGAGAATCTGTTGGGGTTAAGACTTCCTCCCTCCCCCATGCCTGGGTTCTTCTGGTCTCTTTAAATGACCCCCCGCCCAAGCAGTTCCTCCTGCACACCCCCATCCCTCATCAGAAGCCTTCTGTCTCCAAACCTTAGAGTCCCTCAGCCCTGACACAGGTAGCGAGGCAGAAGATGGCCACAGGGCTGGTCCCTGTGGGCCTAAGACCGGGCTCCTGACACCGTCTCCTTTTTGCTTTGTCCCAGATGGACTGGTGGGCATGGCCATTGTTGGGGGCATGGCCCTCGGGGTCGCAGGACTCGCTGGCCTCATCGGACTTGCTGTATCCAAGTCCAAATCCTGAACACAGCTGCAGCTCTTCTGCCTGGGGGAGACAGCCTGGCCCAAGCTCACAGGGCAAGAAGCCTGCTGAGTTTGGATCTAGACATGAAGGACACTCGGGAGCCTATCCTCACTGGCCCTTCCCTGTTCCTGTCCTGCTTCTCTGTCCCTGTCTTTCGTGGGCATCAGCCTCCTCTCCCCTAAAACTTATCGTGTAGCCCCAAATCATGTGCTTTAGGATGAGTGTAAATAAAATCAGGCTTTGGCTTGGGTACTGGTGTCCGTGTTGAAGGAAGGCCGGCTACACTGGTTGCAGAGGGTAGAGGGGATCACGTTGGGGTCTTCCCTGCCTAGGTTTTCCTCCTCCCACCCTCTAGGGGCTGGTGTTGGGTTCTCTTTGTCCACCTAGCTACCCAGAGCCCACACCCTTCCTTCCTGCACGGCATTGAGCACTGGTAGACAGCACAGGGCCTTGGCCTTTGCACAGCCCTAGGATCCTGGGAGCAGCGGCAGGAGGAGGGGGCAGGCTGCGATTTATGCGTCCTGTCTCTGTTGGTCCACTTGGCTGCCTCGGTGTGTGGAGTTTTCCACACCAGAGGCCTCCCCACTTGGTTTCCTCCAAAGCCTCCACCCTTGTCTTCCTGCCTCTTCCCCTCCTCTGCCCTCTTGGTCTCAGGGCACTGCTGAGAAGTAAAGGAAACTGCCAACATAAAGTGGGTAGGAGTCTATAGAGAGATTAGGGACTCAGGATAGCCCCATCTGCCCTCCAGGGTGGAAGGCAGGACCCAGACCCCGCTCCGCCTGCTTTGCCGCACACTCTCTGGTGCCAGGCTCAGCATGGGCCAGTTTTGCTCACTGCATACCTCTCGTTCCACAGCCTAAACCAGCCCAGATGGGGGCTAAGGGGAGTAAGGGAGGCACCTGAGGGGAGCTCAGAGTAGCCTGGCACGGGGAAGGGGAGAGAGGGGAGTTCCACATCCAGTCAGTGTTCTCCTCCTCAATGATATCAGTGGGCCTGGGGGTGGGATCAGCCCTTCATGGGCTCTGCCCTGCTGCAGCCTGTTTGGGGTGGGGACCCAGAAGTTTCTCATCCATCATAATTAATAGAGCTGATGACAGCCCCTGATAACTGAGCTTGTTGGGAGATTAGGTGCAGAATCACATTCCAGGTCTGTGGTTTATCTCTGTCCGAGCAGCTTGGCAACCTGATTAACTTCTTGTCTAGAATCAAAGATCAACCCATGTGGGGGCAGATTAGAGCTCAGGAAGTTTGGAAGAAAGCGGTCCCCTTGCACCTTACCCCCTCCTGCCCCAGGCCATTCATACGTGCTGGGAACTTTTGATCTATGGTCATGATTCTTAGAACCACCTGTGAGGTAAGTGGTATTAGCTCTAGCTTACAGACACTGAGAAAGCTCAAAGGGTCACTTTGGCCAATGAGGGAGTCTAGTGTGAATCCAGAGTCTTCAGTTTCTCCCGTACTCCTCCTTGGAGACACAGCTGTCCCCACCCCCAGGACTTTGAATCTCTTGGCTTGTTCTCCCCAACTGGAGGGGATGGCTTTGCTCCCTCACTCCCTGTCCATTGACAGCTGCAGTTTGGGGTGATTCTGTGAGGGAGTGGTAAGTGGACCTGTCTCCATCAGCTTTTCGCTCCGTGTCCCTCTCCGCTCCGTTCTTTGTTCCAGTCCCGCCATGAAAGTTGAGTTGGAGACAGAAGCTCCCCCTTGATGCAAAGTGTCTCCAGGGAGGGAAGGGGGGGAGCCCTGCCTTAGCTGTATCCGTTAGTCTTTAGTCACTCCCCCCACCCTGTGGGGCGGGGAACCCGAGGCTTGGGGGAGGGAGTGGACTTTTGGCCGCTTCATTTATGTCCTCCATTTCCTAGTCAGTGGCAGCTGTTGCCCGCGTGCAAGCGGGGCTTATTCCTCTGATCATCTGTGTGTTCGGGAAACACAGTCCAGAGAGGAGGGAGACGGAGCACAGGGAGACGGCCAGGCTTGGCCATCCCACCCTCATCCTCCCCAGCCTGCCTTCAGCAGCACCTTTGCAAGTTCCCCTGGGGTCCAGCTCCCCATTTGTCTGGGGCCCCGACCCCCAGCACCCCTCGGGGCCTTGCCTCGCACCATGTCGATGGCTGTGGAGACCCTTGGCTTCTTTGTGGCAGCCGCGGGGCTGCTGATGCTGGGGGTGACCCTGCCACACAGCTACTGGCGCGTGTCCACCGTGCACGGGAACGTCATCACCACCAACACCATCTTCGAGAACCTCTGGCATAGCTGTGCGACAGACTCCCTTGGTGTCTACAACTGCTGGGAGTTCCCGTCTATGCTGGCCCTCTCTGGTACCGGGGTGGACGCTGTGGGGAGCCAAGGGGGGCAGGGTGGGCAGTGCTTGTGGTCAGGTTTGCAGGGCTGAGAGACGTGTTTGGAGGTAGTGTGCGTGAGACCTGTGTTTGGGGTTCTCTGGGCAGTGCCTTTCTAGAGCTTACAGAGCTTGCCCAGAGCAGCTCTCTGGTGGCTGTAGAAACCTGCTGACAGAACCGCCCCATCCCCATCACTTTTCCAGGGGGATGTGCCCTCTCTCTGCTCCCGGAGACCCAGAGCACACGGCCTTGTGCATGCCCACTCCATTCCCCTCACAGGGTCCTCTGGAAACATCGTGCTCTTCCTGGCACCATATTATAGGGCCTTGTTGGTGAGGGGAGGGGAACTGGGACTAACAATGGGTTGGGAGCAGGGCTTCACACATTTTCTCCCAGAAAATTAGGGGTCTGGGTAGGTCTCTTGTGCCCCTACCAATTCCAGAGCCTCTGGAGGCACCTTCTGCCATCTTCCTGCCACTGTGGTTGTGGTGTGCCGTGAAGTCGGTTCCTACTCATAGCGACCCTGTACTGGGTTTCCAAGGCTGTAAATCTTTACGGGAGCAGAAAGCCTCATCTTTCTCCCACAGAACCACTGGTTGTTTCGAACCGCTGACCAAGAGAATAACAGTCTGACTCACAACCACTACGCTAGCAGAGCTCCTTGCCACTGTACTAGTGCCCCCCAAAACAGGGTCTGAGACTTTCAACCATTTCTGCAGTCCTAAGTCCAAGGGAAGTACCGAAAAAGACTTCACATACTTGAAGATGAGGGGGCTTCAAATGGAAAGACTGTGAGCTTCCTCTGTGACTTTATGAAGCTCTCTCATATACATATCTATAGAGAAGTTGATTATGATCTGGGCCTGAAGCCCAAAGTGCTGGGTGTCTTGAGGGCATGTTGAGGTGGCCTGCTCAGCAGCCACAGCCATTCCACCTCCCCTACCCCTAGCCCCACTGTGAGCTCAGGACACTTCTGGTGAGGAGGGAACTCGGCTGTGACCCCATCCACCCAAGAGACACCCAGAGGGCCCAGTGTGCAGGGAGATGTGGAGGTTAATGAGTGCTTGCCGGCAGGAGCAGAGAACACAGCTGCCCCTCACTGGTGGCACCTGGGTTCTAGGTGTTATGCTAGATGTTTCCACTCAGTGGGTTCCAACCCATAGCAACCCTGCATAGGGTTTCCAAGGAGTGAGTGGTGAGCTTGAACCACCAACCTTGAGGTTCAAACCAACTTTACAGTCCAGCGCATTAACCCACAGCGCCACACCAGGACGCCTGCTTCTATGTACATGGTAACATTTAACATTCATGGCAACCCTGTTGTGGGGAGAGCTGGAAACCCTTTGCAAGGTTCATTAAAGAGGCCGATGGGGCCAATGGGGAACTGGGATTCAGGCTCACATGTGGCCACCTGACTTTCATCTGATCTCCTCCCAACTGGAGAACCCCACTTCCCAGTTCCCCAGGCTTTTACAGGCCTCGGTGACCCCCACTCCTTTGGCTAGCCGGAGCTCTAGAGGGAGTGGCTGGGGGTGAGAAAGTGCTCCCAGGGAACTTTGTCCCTCCTCCCTACCTCTCCCCAACCCCCCCCCCCCCTGGCCTTTTCACATCCTCTTGGCAGGGACCCAGCATTGCCCTGTGGGCCACTGATGATGCTGCCCCACCCGGGAAAGGGGTGCAAGGTCCTTGGGAGTTCTTAGCAGCTAAGGAGGGGGGATGGGGGAGGAGGTCCAAAGGAAGCCAGTGGTTTCCTTCAACTTCAAGAAAGGGGAAACAGAGACACTGAAAGATTTCAGCTAGACTGACGGATTGGTTCTTGGTTCATCCTGGGTCCAGGTATCCCACCTTCCAGATTAGAAATGCCCTGTGCCCTCTGTCATGGGCCACCACTGCCCCCTCCTGGTTACTCCAGGAGGAAACCATCCAGTGTGTCCAGCAGAGGGCAGGGCACCAAACGGGATGCAGAGAGGAACCAGGTTGGGGTAGGGGAACCTCAACAGAACCTGGTGTGTGATCTCATAGCAGTAGTTCTCTGTAGGGACAGTAGTGTCCCTGCTTTAAGTTGTCACAGCCGGTAGGGAGATGGTTGCTACTATCCACCTAGTGAGTAGAGGCTGGAGATGGCAGGGAAACGTAGTTTGACACAACAGTATAGCGCCCCCAACACAGAATGTTGTTAAATGCTGTTGAGTCGGTTCTGACCCATAGTGACCCTGAACAGGGTTTCCAAGGCTGTAAATCTTTACGGGAGCAGAAAGCCTCATCTTTCTCCCGCGGAGCGGCTGGTAGTTTCAAACTGCTGACCTTGCAGTTTGCAGCCCGATTCGTAACCACTACGCTACCACAGTCACACAGAATATCCCCATCTAAAATGTCAGTAGTTGAGAATGCCCCAGTTGAGAAACACTTTAATAAAGAGGTAAGCAAAGGGCATGGAGTCTGGCCTTGGGGAGTACACAGTTCCTTTGGGTTCTGAAGACTTTCTAGGAAGGAGGAAACAGGGACTCAGGAGTGGGTGGCAGGGGGCTGACGGCTGTGCGCACCTTCCCCAGGGTATATCCAGGCCTGCCGGGCGCTTATGATCACAGCCATCCTCCTGGGCTTCCTGGGCCTCTTCCTGGGCATGGTGGGGCTGCGCTGCACCAAGGTTGGGGATATGACACTCTCCATGAAAGCCAAGCTGACAGCCATCGCAGGAGCCCTGTACATCCTGACTGGTAACTGGAGGCAGGCCCTGGGCCTGTCATGGGGGCTGGGCATCACTCTGGGCAGCAGACAGCTCTTGCCTCACCCTTCCCTTCCCTTCTCTGCTCACCTCACCTTCACTCCTACTCACCACATCCCTGGACTATGAGTCTGTACTTGAACCAGGGGTGGAAAAGACTTCAGAGTCAGTCCCTCCAAACCAGTGGTCTGGCCAGACCAGCGATAGGATGGGTGTGCCCGCACATACTCACACAGTGCACAGAAACAGTACCAACGACTGACCACTACAGTTTGCAAGCACTCAATACAGCGTCTCACATTAAGCCCAGAGGTAGGGTAGGAAGGTGCCGTCCCGTTTTCGGCTCACTGAATTGAGTAACAAAGGCCTGTTTCAGGCTCTGAGGACTCTAGGCGCCCAAAAGCAAACTCCAGGTGGATAGGTAAGGCTGCTCAGGAGAGATGGGTAGGAACTGGATGGGGCAGGTTCTATGTAAGGAAACTGGAGACTAGCTGAGGAGTAAAGCAGGACTGGAGCTAGAAGAGGTGGGATGCGATTCAGAGTGGTGGGAGATGAGAACCGAGCTGGAGGTGGGGTCCTGAGTACCGAATTGAGACGTTTAGGGTTAACCTCAGGAAATAGAATGTTTATAAGCTGGGGAGAGGGGAGGAAAGGAATTCAATGAAACCTGACTTCATTGCTTGCATCCTACTCTGAGCTGTGGGCTCCTGCTTCCCCCAGGTTTCTGCGGGATGGTAGCTATCTCCTGGTACGCCTTCAACATCACGCGGGATTTCTTTGACCCCTTGTATCCTGGAACCAAGTGAGTGTGGGACCCCATCCTTGGGGCAGTGGGTGGGACTTGGCCATCGTCACCCTCATGCCATCTTTGTCCCCAGGTATGAGCTGGGCCCTGCCCTCTACCTGGGCTGGAGCGCCTCCCTGCTCTGCATCCTGGGAGGCCTCTGCCTCTGCTCAAACTGCTGCTGTCCTCCTGAAGATGACCCGGATGCCAGGTTACGTTCGGACAAATTTCGAAGGGGGCAGGATAGGGGGCAGTCCTGCAGCCTCACCTCTGACCCAGTCCTGATCCTAGACAACACCCGGCTGCCCTACAAGGCTTCCCAGCCCGTGATTCAGTCTAAGAGCCTCAGCACCCACCTACCCAAGGCTGTCTCCAATGAAGACTGCAGCAGCAACTTTGGGCAGTATGGGAAGAATGCTTACGTGTAAGACCCCAGGTCTGTGAACCCCGTTGCCTTTCCTTCCCCTGGCTCCCAGCAGAGAGCGGATCCTCAGGGCCCAGATGCCATGCCCAGCTCAGAAGTAGCTGTGAAGCCATCTCCTGAGAATCTACGTGGACTCCTGGGACAGGACGGCGTGTATCTTCTGGGCATCCCGGAGCATGTTTTCTATATCAGTGCATGTCTAAGTAAATTTATATTGTGAACTGGTCCCAGCTTGAGGTCATGAACTCTTTGGGAACTGGGGAGGGCACCAGGGGGCATCACCTTCTCCACGGCCTTTGGGTTCTCATCCAGCAGGAGGCAGGTTGTAAGTGATCTCGACTGTGGCACACAGTATTCTGGGAGTCATGGAGGGCAGAGGATAGGAGGGTCAGCTCCCAGAAAAGGAAACCCACAGGGGACCCAGAGGTCACCCCAGGGGTCAGCTCAACCTGTTTGCTCACAGCTGTACAAGGTGGTGGTCCTGGGTCTGAAAGTGGTACCAGGAATTGACAAGCCCTTTGAAAGTATTTCATATGAATCAAGTCATGGGTTCTGATGGGAATGGTTCACTGACTCCCACCAGGTTCTGAATGAGAGCCACAGTGCGAAAAGGCTCCTCAGGTCGGTGTTCGGAAGCTGGGATGTTGCAGGGAGGTGGGTGGATGGCCTGCTGGCATGCAGCTCAGAGATGGTGCTGGGTTAGGGGCAGATTTGACATAGGCCTGGTGGCCACTACAAACAGCTGAACCCTCTTTAAAGAGGCCTCTAGAAAGAAGCCTGGCATCACAGGCAGGCAGGAATCGGGCCCTGTCCTAGCACCTGCTCTCTGCACCAGGGTCGGTACTGATCTGTCACTTACCTGTGGCTCCTGTCCTTCGGCCTAAATCCCATCCTGCATGCCCTTCGCCTAGGATGCAGGCCACTCACACATCTGCATTCTAACTGAGCCCCTGTGCGGTGATCATGTCCCCCACCCCTGCAGCAGTTCCTGCTGCCACCTCCCTCCCCTCATCCCCACCTGCCCTGCTCAGTTTCCAGCAGGCCTGCGTCAGCTGCTAGCCATTTCATTTCATGCATAGCAGCCCCTGAAAACAGGAGCCTCCGGAGGACTGGACACCAAGCTCCGATTAAGGAGCAGCCTCCCACAGCACCCTTCTGTCCCAACACTCACTCCACTTCTGTTTGCCCAGCACTGACACCAAGCTGTACTTCAAAGATGTCAGCAAAAAGACCAGAATAACCAGGAAAAAAAGGACATAAAGAAGCCACCAGAGGCAGAGCTATGGGAGTGGGACAGAATCATGGTCAAGGACGCAGGGCAGACAATGGGAGGAACAACTGACAGACAGAGGAAAATACTCAGCAGTGAGAAGATGAGCCAAATAACCGTCCACTGCACAGGCCGGCTCCTCCTTGCAGTAGACCTTTAATTATCACAGCCCTCTGAGGGCTCAGTCCACTTCCTGCCAAACAGTCCCGGGACCAGGACTGATCTTCCCCCAAAGGTGAGTTTTGCTGCATTAGTGAGCGGCTCCTGCTCTCGACTCAAGGGCAGCTCGTCTCTGAGGCTGTGGTGAGGGCCTACCCTCCAGGGTCACTCGGGCCTACACAGTCCACTTGAGGCACCTGCCGAGAGGGGAAGCCCCACGTCAGAACCAGCAGGGAGGGGATATGACATGGGTGAAGAGAACCCATGCTCACTTGGTCTGGTGGGTACCCAGGCAGCGCACGGGCCCCACATCAGGAGAGCGAGCAGGGAGGGGATTTGACTGATGTTGGTGAAGAGGCCAGGCCCCATGCTCACCTGGTCTCCTGGTGGGTGCCCAGGCAGCGCACAGTGCAGTACCGGGCACCACAGCTGACACAGGTATATGGGGAGGGGAAGCCGCAGACAGCACAGAAGGGGCGCTGGGGCTGGGATGGGGGTCCTGCACAGGCAGTCAGGTAGTTGGGGCCCTCGGCCACACTCAGGTTCTGCAGAGACAAGGGGGCAGGCTCCAGCACTCTTCCTCCTACCCATGGAGCAACCATCCGTGGGGCATGCAGATCTCCAGGCTCATCCCTCCCACTGGGCTCCTCCGTCTCTCACCTGCTCCTCCAACAGGGCCTGGAAGTTTTTCCGGAAGCGAAGTTTAAAATGGTCACCTCGAGTTTTCTTCTTTTTCTTGCCTAGGGTCAAGAGTGGGTGGTGTGAGTTTTCACCAGGCACCATTCCTTTGTCTCGTCGCCCCCAGGTCCCAAGTTCCCTCCCTCTACCATCCTTTCTCCTCTACCCCGACATTTCAAATCACAGTCCTGAGCCCCTAGTCTGAGGTTTCCTGTCAGAGCTAGAGGGAATCTCAGATTGCAACCCCTCCATTGTCTCTCTTGTATGAACACAAGAAGGCTCACAGCCAGGACTGGCCCCAGCACAGCCTGAAGGTGCTTCTGAGTCATCTGCCTGCCACAGGCCTCCCCGAGACAGACTCGCCCCCTCCCACCCGCCTCACCAGTGTCTGCATCATCATCAAACTGAGGCAGCCTCTTGCCGAGCTGGGGGAGTCCGGCGTGGGGGTCGTCCTGGAAATTGTCATTCTCTAATGCCTCAAGCTGCCGGTTGATCCGCCGCTGCCGGGCCGCTCGGTCCAGCACCCGCCGCTGTCCGGGGTCCTGGGAGCGAACTAGATGGGGCAAGGCAAGAAGAATTAGGAGTCACGGCCAGAGAGAGAGTGTGTGTTTAGGGTGGCACACAGAGGATGAAAATGGGGAGTCTTGGCTTTGGCCAGGGAGTACAAGGTGACCAGGGCAGGCAGGGAACCAGTTCTTGGATCTTGTCCTAATCACTGAGCCCTTGGCCCTCTTGCTTCTCCCTTTTGCCCTGTTCCTTCCCAGCTAAGCAGTCCAGTGTTTATGCTACAGCGCCACACCAAGACTCCTTACTAAGCCTTTCTTGTTGTTTTTGTTAAGTGCCATTTTCTCAGGACTGTTTCCAGCCCTTTGGTCTCAGACTTCCCAATCCCAGAGCCAGCCAATGAAATGCTTCCTTGAGGCCTCTTGTTGCCAATAAAATTTACACACAACCAAGCTAATGGAGGTCACTATACAGTCAGGTATTCAACTGGAATTTTGATTGTGATTTGGGTGAAAGCTTATAGAATTGAACAAATTGGTCTTCCACTCAGCAATTCATACACCTTCTGCTTCATGACATTGACTGCAGTCCCCACAATGCATCAGCATCTTCCCACTTCCTCCCTGCACTTCCTGTTTCCTTCAGTCCTCCTTTCCCCTGAGCCTTATTCCTGGGCAAATCCTGCCCTCTCACCTCTGGTTGGTGGTTCTAGGGAGTGCATACCTCTCTGGTGTTACTGATTCACCTTATAAGCCCATTGTTTGGATGAAAGTTGAGCCACGGGGATGACTTAAAGGGCAGTCTTGGGAGTTTCAACTGGAACCTTAATGCACTTGGCCTTCACGCTCAGTCTCAGGTCCTACTTCAAAGGAAAAGCGCCACCCACATGTAAAGACATTCATCTTTCAGGCAAAATTGCAGGTTGTTAAGTACGGTTCTGACTCATAGTGACCCTGCACAGGGTTTCTTAGGTTGTAAATCTTTATGGGAGCAGAAAGCCTCATCTTTCTCCTGTGAAATGGCTGGTAGTTTCGAACTGCCGACCTTGATTCATAACCACTACGCTACCAGAGCTCCTGTCTTTTCCTCATTCTAGGTGGGCACACCCAAGCCCACCACTCAACCCAGCCCTCCCTCCAGAGCCCACCCCTGCCCTCTTGCATCTTCAACTCCCACCACCCCAAACTGATACTTCCCCTT